TGATGAAGATGCATGTCTCAGGTCCTGTGTCAGGTCTTTGTTGGATTCTTTTCAGATTTTTTCAGGCAATTTTCGTCTGCTATATATAGTTTTTTACGTCTGTCACTCTTCACACTGACACCATTTTCAGATATGTCCTTTTATCCATTTGGCAAATGCCTCTTTAGGTAGAAATGGAAACTAACTATATGTTTTTGCAAAAGGTTGCTATTAACAAAGTGCCAAAAGATATAAATTAACATTGGTTCTTTGCTACGTTTGTCTGTTATGTGTAGACACACCACTGGTTCACTTAAGTTAGGCGCCTTTTTATGCTTGAATGATTCATAGGTCAGTGTTAAGTGGCTTAACAGAGAAAAAAAAACATTCTTCTCAAAAGACACAGAACTGAACTAAAAATGAGTGAAAATGCAGCCAATGTCAAAAAATCTTTAAAAAGACCTTCAAGCCTGGGTAATTGCTGAAGATCACTTTAAAGTCTGGCTCTTTCCAAAGAAAATCGTAAAGAATGATATGTGGCTGAAGACTTTTGCACATTACTGTATATTTTTAAAAAGGGAAAGAGAAGAAATAGAAAATTAACCAAAAAAAACCTCAAAACAATTAATGCATAAATGAATAACTGGAGGCCAATGCAATAAATTCAGGACTCATGGGTGGTTGTCATTTGACGTTAAAACAGGAGTAATGAAGTGTTCTTAACATTTTCCACCAGGGATTTAATCTAGATAAGTATTGTAGTCTTGTCTTTTAACACACATGGTCTGCACACTTACTAATTTCTTGACAAAGCTTAAGCAGTGTTTGAAGAAAAATTTATACTAAATAACATATATTATATTATGGTCAAACATTTTGTTCAGTCCTACCATGGACTGGTAACAGATCCAATGATATAAGGCCCAAATAATTTAAAATTAAATAATTATCTGAAGGGCTTAATTATTTCCAATATGCTTTTAGAGCGAGGGGTCATTAAGGTTAAAATCACAAACATGACTCAAAAAACCCTTACAAATACTGAGTCTGTTAGTCCCTGCTGGAGGGGGAGTCTTACAGAGGAAAAAACTAAACAAAACACCACGTTCACTTCAAAGTTTGCCCTTAAAATCACCTCCCAAAAAACCCACAGACATACACACATATATATGCTCTATGTACTCACACACTTCATCAGCTGTCCTACTCAGGTACTGCTGAGCCTTTTCTGCAAAGCTCTATCTCCCTCTCTCTCACTCGCTCTCTCTCTCACCCCCCACTACCTCCATATAACCTCTGAGCACGTACGTGCACACACGGACACGCACACATCAGTATGCCAGAGGTGCTGCAGCAGGATTTGAGAACACTGGCGGCACGGCTCAGATCTCAGTATTGATCCTAATGGGAAAAGGGTTGCAGGTTCAACTCCAGGTCACCCTGGGGGTTACTGGGTAGGTCGAGGAGATAGGGGAAGAGCCCTTGGAAGTGACGACACCATTGGAATGGCAATGATGAGGGAGATTATGGGATGCTCGAGTAGGTCAAAGAGGGGAGAAGGTAAAGGGGAAAATTGCAGGTTGGTAATTGGTGGTGGTGATTATGTTACTTGGTATGTATGAAGACATATTCAACCGCGCCCATGAGCACAGATGAAGGAGTGCAGGATGCACAGTCGTCCCTATAACACACACACACAGCACCTGCCACACACAGTGAAGGAACGCAAGCATTTGCTACCCACAATCCAGCAAAACAAGAGACGCAAGAGAATCAAATTACTTTTCATGAGCAGCTCGTGTTTACCAGTACTTCAGTCGGCCAAAGAACAGATTATACACCTTTTGAGTCCGTCCGTCAGTTTGACACAAAGTGTAGATTGAACAGCCACAAGGTCTGTACATAACAACCCTGCGAGATCTATTCAGGAAAACTTGAGACTGAGAACAAAATGAATGCCAGGTACCAAAATAGATTCTGATCCAGCCAAAGAGTGAGACAAATATGGAGACAAGGACCCAAGACCATAATCAGGCTTTAGAAGTTTGTGAGCTCAACAATTTTTCTTTAATTAAGGCATAGCACTTGTGCTCCACTGACCAGTAGAAAAGGCTAGAGAAGGTCCTAGAGGTGCATGCCAGCAAAACCAGGTATTTTGAAAACTATGAAGGACTTTATTTTGTACAGCTTGCTTCTTTTTTGCAGGAGCAACACTATATATAAAAATATGGAAGATGAATGCTGTGTGTATAAACCACACCTTCACAGAATCCCTTTAGTCTTAAATCAATAAATAAAAACAAAATAAAACAACAAAGATCTAGTGTGTCACACACTGATTCATGCCATTTTTCTTGCCGAAACTCCAGACTTCATTGCTGGTTAAAGCCATGCAAGGACCTCCCTTTTTAAATGTATTTGTAACTCCCACAGTGAAGTATATTCAACAGATTAACAGTCAATTAAACTGTACTGTAGTTTCCAGCTCTTTTAAAACATACATTTTCCAAAGTCAACAAGAATTAAAAGTAGGAACATGAAAACTCACACACAGTGAGAGCCCTTACAAGCCACAGGCATCACACTGAGAAGCATATCATAATATGTCAACTGCGTCAAGAAAACCTTATGTTCTAAATCATAATGACTAGGAGCCTGAGTAATAGTAGATTTTTATGAAGGTGGCCAATAAATACATACAGTATATATACTTGTACAGCAGAGTGATATTGACATTTCAAATTTAAAGGGTTACCACTGTCTGCTGAGCTTTACTCTATTTCATGTGCTGCACAAAGTGCTGAGACTATTGTCAAAAATATACTCTTTAATTATTAAACTACCACTTATTTATTTTTTATTTCAAATCAAAAAAACTTAAGTTTCTTCTTTTCTTGCCTCAGTATGTGTTTTGTACTCGTCTAGCATATATATACCATTAAAGAGTACAGCATTTAATTAATATTTGTTTCTGCTCGACATCCGTTCCGAGTCGTTTTACATTTCCATATTCCATCCACACATTTCTCTCTGTTAAATGAAGCTCAGCCACTAAGAACAGTGTTACTGTATGAGTGAGAAAGGTAATCAAGCCTGCTCAAGCAGGTACCTCACATAGTGCATTTAATGGAAATTCTAAATGAACCTTCACAGTGGACAAATGCTGCTCAAGTAGATAGCTTTGTGACATTATGCACACGTATGGACGAATGATCATGCGCACACTTATGCTGAAATAGCTACTGTTCCATTACATGAAAAGTCTGCTTCAAATTTCAGACGCTCAGAACACATTTCCAGCTGTTGAATTTAACTACCCTCTTCAGCAGCTCAATTTTCTGCTTTCTGTCTCTCTGCTCCTCTTCCTCCACGCATTTTCACCACCTTTTCAGCACCAACTCACCTCTACCGCCGTTTCCCCTTCTCTCTCACCCCTCCCTGCTTCCTTCTCATTACTACCATGCTACACTTTGCCTGCTCATCTTCTACAAGCACTTATTTATCTCCCTCTCTGCTCCACTTCATACTATATTTAACGCTGCATGGCCCGTGGTGTCATATAGAATCACAGTCACACAGCTAATTACTGAGCAGCGAGCTTAAACTTGCATTTCGCTATTAAAAAGGAACTTGACTTCCTCCAGCTAAATGGAGCCATATGATTATGTACAATGCAATAGAATCAGTCTATAACCCATGAATGAAATCTTTTTTTATGTTCTTGTATGGGGCCTTTACTTCATTATAAATATGTATGAATACCAGATGGACATCTAAAATTATTTAGATCACAGGAAGGTTGAAAATAAAAAAAGTACTTGCAAAACAGTGTGCAGTGCTTCTGGTAAGAGGCATCATGAGTAATCTGAAATGCCAAATCTAGTTTACCAAATAGTATTAGCTCATCTTAGAAGTGACTGGCAGGTTTGCAACATGTTCTTCTGCTGCATAAGGTGGGATTGAGCCTCT